TTAGTTACCCCCTTCCACTATGCTCTCTGGAATGCCTGCTCCATAGGCAGTACACTTTCTTCCATCTTAAAACTTTTTCTTTACAACTACTTCCATCTTCTGATTCTCACTGAGAACTGTCTATACCCTTATTATACAGTCTCTCTGTCTATATCTTCTTGCATTAGATGAACTTTAACTCATTCCCCCAACTTTCTAATCAAGGTGAGGAAGTTAGAATGCTTCTTGCTCCCCATTGCTACTTCTAGGTTGTCCCACTCCCACCATATCTCAATAATATATCACTTCCTTTGGGGTTACTCAATCCATGTCTTCCACCAAATGAACACCCTAATAGCTGCGGTCTATAGATCTCCAAAACAATCTACTTCCTTTCTAAATAAGTTCAGTATTGGTTCATAATCTTTCTGTCCTCCCCAACTCCTTCCTTTATATTAGAAGATTGTATAATATGTACGTATATTTATATGCATGTATGTCCATATATACTTGCATATACATATATACATACACACATGCATATGTATACATACATACATATACATACACACACCAGACCCCATGATTAGCTATTTCTACTCTACATTATCCTCTTCTTTTTGTCATATTGTTGATCTTGTCCTTCCAGTCCTTAGCTCTGTATCACTCTAACAATCCACTAGCTTCACTCACACACATGCTGACCAAAGCTGAAGAAATTCATGAAACTGTGCTGATTTGGTTCACCACAAATATATGTAACAGCTGGGTCCTCACTGCTGCTAGGCAATCTTTTTATAACCCTTAATTAGCTCACTATTCTGGTAATTATACTGGTTTCCAAACCTTTCATCCCATTTTAAACCTTTCATGGCTCCCCCAACTCACTCTGTCACCTGAAAACCTTGTCCAATAGTTCACTGAAAAAATGAAGACATTTACCAAGAGCTCTCTCTTCTCCCCTTATTATCTCATAATACCCAGATGCTATCTACCACTACTTCCTCCTTAACTCTCAATAGATTGTGAGTTCCTTGAGGACAGGGACTACCTTTTGACTATATGTATATATATATATATATATATATATATATATATATATATATATATATGTGTGTGTGTGTGTGTGTGTGTGTGTGTGTGTGTGTGTATGTGTATATGTGTATATATATATGTATGCACACACACATATATATATACATATATGTATGTATACACACACACACACACACACACATATATATATATATATATATATATATGTGTGTGTGTGTGTGTGTGTGTGTGTGTGTGTGTGTGTGTATACATACATATATGTATATATGTATGTATGTATGTATGTATGTATTCCCAGGACTTAGCACAATGCCTGGAACATAGGTGCTTAAATAATGTTTATTGACTCACTGACTTACCCTAGTCAGGAGGAGTGACCTTTCTCCTTGTGAAAGTCAAATTTTCCCCATGCACAAATGATTCCATTCACTTACTTTATTCTTTCCCATGCCTTTTTTTTCCATCTAATCTGTTTCTTCTTTCACAACTGTGATGAATGTGGAAATATGTTTTACATGATAGCATATATATAGATTATATCAAACTGCCTACCATTTTCAGAAGAGTGGAGGGGATGGAGGGAAAATTTCTCATGTGACAGAGGAGAAAATTTGGGGCTCAAAATCTTGTAAAAATGAGAACTAAAATTTTTCTTGATATGTAATTGTGGGAAAAAATGAAATGCTACTGAAACAAAAAAAAATTGAGACCTCTCCAGATGCCAGCAACTAAGGATCATTTAAAGTGTAATTCAAATTACTAAATACAATCTAATCTCACTTTCCCCTATTCTCTTTTGGGCCAACTATGTTTTCCTCATGTTGCACCTATCAAAAGTATATACACAAAGGCTACTCTAACAGAACTCCCTCTTCGTCTTGAGCACAAGGACAGTCTTTTTCCTTATTTGTATCACCAGACCTTAGCACTGTGCTTTCAACATAGTAAGTATTTAATAAATAATTGTTTTGATGAGGATGGTGATCCAGCAAGAAGGAATGGAACTTTGAAATAGGTATAATGAGTACCAGGAGATAGTTGATCCCTAACTCCTGGGAAGAAGTGAGTATCCAGAAGAAGGAGATTGATCAACACTTGTTTGGCAGTTTTCCATGTATTCAAATTGGACTTCTTGCTGTTCCTCACACATGACCCTGCATTTCTTATCTCTAGAATTTTGGAATGGCTGCCCTTACTGAATTTCAATTCTTCCACTTCCAGGACTTAGAATTTTTTGTTCCCTTCTAAAGCTCAGCTCAAGCACCACATTCCATGTTAATTCTTACCTAATTTTTCAGCTGTTACTGTGCTTTCCCCACAAAACCACCACCTTATACTTACCTCTTATGTATTTTGTGTATGCTACTAATATTCATGCTGTTTCTGCCCATTGAATGTAAGTACACTCTGGGAAAAGACTCTTTTAATTTTGTCTTTGGGTATATCATGTGTGGCAGAAGATAATGGATTCTTAATATTTAATTTATTGAATGATCTATCAAGCCCAAATATTATTTTTACAACTTCTATCTATTATTCTTACTTCAAACCTTTAAGCTAGGTAGAAGTCAAACTGTGCAAATCTAACCTTTCTATGTGATAGCCTTTTGAAGACTTGGAGACTAAAATTATTTTCTACAAGTAATCTCTTTTTCAGACTTTTACATTTCCCATTTTTTCCTGGTTCATTTGAATATGGCAAATTATTTCAATATTCATGAATAAAAATGTTCTTATGTATAGCATTGTCTTATTTTCTTTGTTGTCATAGAAATAATCAAGCAGTAAATAACTAGAGGTTTATCGGGAGGCCACAGTGTGTACAGGACCAGGATATTTTGGTTACCATTTTTATTCCTCTTAGTCTGATTGACGTATTACTTCTCTTATGTGTTCCTTCCACATAATTTTCTTTTAGAAACCAATATTCCTTATCATAGATCCTCTACAAAAATGTGACACAGTTGAAATAATTATATTAATAACAAACAATAATAAAATGATTTGACCATTCTATCTACTTTATTTTATGTCTAAACCTTAGCTCATTAAGGTATGGCTCACACCTATCCCTTATCACTGAACATGGGGTGAGAGTTTCTCCCTCAAGCATCATGCATCTTAATCATTTTTGAAAGGGAGCAGAGAGTTGGGTACTACCTTGTGTTTGTGGACTACATCTTGAATGGTATTTGGAAGCATTCCAAACATCAATTTACCACTCCACTTGGAACTTCCCTCCTAGGTCTCCTATCCACAAATTGGTTTGTGGTATTTGTAAGTATTGAAATCAGAAAATCAAGACACTGAGAACAAGAAATTCCTGGAAAAATGGAAAGTAGAGAAGAGAGGATAAAAAAACAGAAGAAAAGGACTCAGAGGGAATGAAAATGAAAAAGAGCAGTAAATGGGAGAGATGGAAAAAGGGGGTGGGAATGGCTGAACAAGTTGGAGTATATGAATGTAATGGGATACCATTGTGCCATAAGAAATGATGAGCAAGCAGACTTTAGAAAAACCTGGAACGACTTGTATAGACTGGTGTTGAGTGAAAAGAAATAGGAGAACTTTGTACACAGAAATAGCCATGTTGTGCAGTGACTAACTTTGATAGACTTAGCTTTTCTCAGCAGTGCAAGGATCTAAGACATCTCCAAAAGTCTCATGATGGAAAATGCTATCCACATCCAGAGAAAGAACTATGGAGTCTGAATGCAGATTGAAGCATACTATTTGCTCTTTTTTTTCCCTTTTGTTTTGTTTCTTCTTTCTTGTGGTTTCTCCTATTGGTTTTAATTCTTCTTTACAATACAACTAATGCGAAAACATGTTTAATAGGAGTTTATTATAAATATGTCAAGGCAGCAATATGCTGATGTACTGATTACTGGATATCAGCAATGGCTTCACGATGGGACCAACTTTTATTAGTATATTTTGGAATGAGATAAAGACAATTAATATAGGTTAATATCAACAAAAGAGGTTGTGTCTCATTTCCTCTTCAAGATAGCAAGTATATGCCAATTTGCAGGTAGGGGTACAAACATCACAAGTAGGGGTGTATGACAAAGATCAGGCAATGCAAAAAGCTGCAGACTAGGTGTCACCTTCTCCAACAGAACCTCCCCCAACACTGAAAAGCAGGACTGAGAAAAATGGGTCACTGAGTCAACACAACTTTCAACACTACCTATTGAATATAATTACATTCATTGAGCTCAGGAATTCCTTCATTTTTTTTTTCCATCTCTAGTGCCTAGTACATAGGAGATACTAAAAAAAAAAAAAAGAAAGAAAAGAAAAAGAAAAAAACATTATTAATTGATTGATATATAAAGTAAAAATCTCTTGACAATATCTAAATATCTTCCAAGAAAATGCCTTCAGAAGCCAAGTAGAAAAAGTTCACCTTTTTTTCCCAAAAGGCAGCTCTTTGGATATTTGGAGACAATTATGTTCTCTATAAGTTTTCCCTTTTGGAGGTTTATAAACATCCCATTTTCCTCATTGGTTTTAATAAAGTCATCATTGCTGGTACTGCCCTTATTTATCACATTGGTATCTTCTTATTGCCACACCAAGTTCTATGGGTAATTAATTCCCTAAGGCCTAAGAGAACCCAGTCTCTTCCTTAATCCCTTCCTCTAAATCTAATGCTCATATCTTACTTGTAGCTTGGCTTCCTACCCCAATCTAAGAACTTCTTCCTTTTAAAACCATTATTCTTCTGATGGCTCTACTACCAAGTGCAATTTCTTAAGGAATATTTTAGTCTCACATTTTTAGTAGAGAAGAAATAAGACATCAGGAATAATCAGGACTAAAAATCATCATAATAGTGTCTTTGCCACTGTCTAAATTATGTTTCATAGCTGTCCTTTGAAGAGAGTTGCACTTGGCATATGCAATATATTATCATAAATTAAAAAGACATCTCCTAGTTAATGGTTGGAGGTGTTAATTCAGTGCAGGAAATTGTTGTTTGGAGTGAATATTCTTATCACTTTGACACGGATTTCCTTGGTTTTCACTCCGTAAACAATGGGGTTGAGAGCAGGAGGCACAAGGAGATAGAGAGTAGACAGAAGAATGTGGGCAAAAGGAACCACACGGCCAAAACGATGGCTAAAAAAAGAGAAGAAAGCCAAGGCATAGAATTCAAGGAAGACAAAGATGTGGGCTGTGCAGGTGTTGAGTGCTTTCAATCGTGCCTCCTTCTGAGGTAGGTGAAAAACTGTCCAGATGATTAGGGTGTAGGAAACAAGGACAAAAACCATGTCAAAACCCAGGATAGCAAATGCAACAAACAATCCAAAGGACTTATTTATCTGGGCATTCCCAGCCACCAACTTGACCACAGCCATGTGCTCACAGTAAGAGTGGGCTATGATAGTGGTATGGAAGTGCAAACGTCTAATCAGGATGGGCAATAAGCCAACCAATACAACAGCTCTTACTACCACTGTCAATATTATTCGACTTAGGATGGTTGGTGTGAGGATGACTGAATGCCTAAGAGGATCACAAATTGCCACATAGCGGTCAAAGGCCATGGCCAGCAAGATGCCTGACTCCATCCCTTGTAAGGTATGAATGAAGAATAGCTGAGTGAGGCAGGCATGGAAGGCCATGGTGCAGGCACTGAACCAGAAGATAGCCAGCATCTTGGGGGCTATGGCAACACATAGGCCCAGGTCAGTTGCAGCTAGCATAGCCATGAAGATGTACATAGGCTGGTGAAGGCTACGCTCCCTTGAGATGATGGTCAATAGGAGGACATTCCCCAGCAGGGCTTCTATGCAAAGGATGCAAAAAGGGAATCCAATCCAGAAGTGTAGATGTGCAAGTCCAGGGATTCCAACCAGAGTCACTGTTGTCGGGTCCAGAAATGAGTTATTAGAGATTCCCATGATGACTAGCAACAAGTATACTCAGTGTAATTTCTGAAGCCTGCTTAGAGAGGGCAATGTTCCAGGGGATCAGCAGTGTGCTCTGGGTGACAGCTGGGATGGAAGACAGGCAAGATGATTGCTTTTATCATCAACTCACTCTCAGAGGGTGTCCTGGGGACTGGAGACGGGATCCTGGTCTGACACATCTACCCTTACTCTCGTGTCTAAGGTATCTGTGGCAGCAGTAGCTGAAGAGCAAAAACAGAACAGAATTCCACAAATCCCTCTTCTCTGAACCATGTTTGAAGACAATCAGAAGGGATATGAATTGGTTGGGGTACACTTACCTTGGAGGACATTGGGGCCTAATGTGGAAATAAACACAAAGACTCTGGAATGTCAGCTTTTCTCCTTTTCCTCTGATTTTTATGGTCTTAAAGTTGAAAGAGGTCTTAGATGCCATACAATCTAGTCCACACCTACACAGAATTCCTTTCTACAGTATCATCCATAACTCATTCATCACTTGAAGATTTCAACTGTTAGGGAGTTTACTTTCTCTAGTGACCATCCTATTTATGGATACCTCTATTCATTGGTAAGTTATTCTTCATATACATCTCAATTCTTTTTTCTCTTCAATATGCATACATTGCCAATCCTTCTGTAATTCAGGACCAATAATAATGACTTACATATAACACCTTAAAGCTTGTAAAGCACTACACATATATTATTTAATTTTAACTTCACAATAACCCTGTGACTTTGGTAGTAGAAGGTTTATAACCCATCTTCTACACATGTAAAAAACTGACATTTAGATACCTTAAGTGACTTACTCATGGTCATATAACTACCTAGTAATTGTAAGATGTGGAATTTGAATTCAAGGTTTCCTGACCCCAAATTCAGCATTCTATCCATGACATCATGATATTAAAAAGAATAAATTGAATTTCAACAAATGGGAGCAGTGATGAAAAACTTTGAAATAGAAGACAGTGTGGAACAGGCTGTTGAATGGGTTGATGAAATTCAGGCAAGTACATACAAATGATGATGCCTACCTGCAAAGACACATGGAAATATTAGTGTTGACACAGAACTCCAAGACCATCTCATCTAACCCACCAATGAATAATAATATTATCCACAATATACTCAACAAATGTCCATCCATGTTTTTCTTTTACAAGAAAGCCTCCAGTGAAGGAGAGCCCACTCCAATGGCTGCTTATTCTACTTAATAGCACTAATGGTTAAGAATTTTCCCGTTAAACCAAGGCTAAATTTACCTTTTTTTTCAATGTCCATTTGAAAAAGAGTGGTTTTTCCAATAAGGCAAAATGAAACCACATGAAAAGATGAATTATGAAAGTTCACTGATATTATTATGTTTTAATGAAAGAATCAGCTGTCATGAGGTGACATGGGTGTCAGGTAATTCTTTTCCTGGGTTAAAGGAACAATACAAGTGTATCTTTGTTGAGAGTTTCCAACATCCATCTCCCCCACAAGGTAGGACAATAAATAGTAAGTATTTATGTGAGAATAGAGGTGGATCAACAGGTGTTGACAATTAATAGGCAAACTTCCTCAATCACTGAGAGTGAATATGGGATGTATATATTCAGTCCAGAGGGTTGTGGGGGAGATTCATACATCACAATATTGTACTATAAGATGAGGGCTACCAGTCTCCTTCAGGCATCCATAGAGAATTAGACTAGTCTCAGCCAGTGGTTTCTTAAGGAAATAGGATTGATTAAGAAATGAAAAATAACTTTACTGAGCTACATAGAATAGTCCAACTCTAGGTACTTGGGAAGAAACCCTGAAAATATGTGCTCTTCACTGAAGCATGGCTTAATAGGCAAAATAAAGGTAAGGAAGAAAGGATAGTTGAATCAGGAATCCAGTCATGGTGATAGTGGCAGAAGAAAGATTGAGAGTCATAAAATGTTAGGATCATAGGTGTTTAGGGATAAAGGACCTCATAGTCCATTTAGTAAAGACCTCTCCCTTTGCAGATGAGTACAGAGCTGTCTGGAGAGGTCAAGCCACTTTCCTAAGGTGACACAGCAAGTAAGTTTCAGAGCAGAGGGATTTCAATTCAGGATATCTGAATCCAAATTCAGCATATTTTCCAGTGTTTTGATGGACAAGGAACCAACCAGGCTCCAGGACCAATAAAGTCACTCAATATATCAATGAAGAAACATTTATTAAGTGCCTACTATGTATAATACACTATGCTAAGCACTAGAGAAGCAGAGAGCTAGGTGCCGGGCATGAAAATAAAAATCTTCTTGAGGGGAAAAGACTGATACCGGCCCCGAATGTCAGTAATACTGTCAATTCCTCCTTCTATCTTTCCATTGGAATCAGAATATACAATTGGTCATGCATCTCTAAATTTCCTCTATAGCCTGTACTCCAAAGAGAGTGGTTTGAAATTTTTTTTATGCTGAAACTCCCAATATTTGACACTATTTCCAGCTTCATGCTTTTTCTTTGTTCCTGACCATCCTCAGAGGACTGGGGACATTGTCCCTCCTTCACAAACAGGGTCAGGGTTAAAACTGAACACTGTGAATAGAAAAGGTCTGCATGATTTGGACTATTGAGTCCTCATCCCCCACCCTTCTCTTTAGGCAACTATTTCATAAGATGGGAAAATTCAGCATTTACCACGGACACAGGAAAAGAAAAGAAAAAACTATCCCTGCATCCAGCAGGATTTTGATGAGATATATGGAAAAATATCATAGCATATTAAGATTTTCAAATTATGTAATGGGTAATGGAAAAAGCTCAGGAAATCTCTAAGAGAAGGAATAGTAAAATGCTTTGTCTATACCAGATTAGATACAGCCTGCAAGAAGGCAATGTCTAATAGCCTTTGTCTTCCTTTGATAATCTTTTTCCATTTTTTCAAGGGACAGTCACTTCCTTGATTAGCAAGGAGTTTGTAGAAGGTGTATAGAGAAGGGGGAGATGGTCATAATCAGAGAAGAATGGGTGCTGGGGCAGCCAGAATATACTCTTCAGTTCTCAACAATATTGACATCTGAGAGAAAAGAAAGAAACAAGTGCCGTAATGGCTGAAGATTTTTAGCCATACACATGCAGTCCATCCCACTTATGAACTCAGCCCTTCATCTTGTTTTTTACTCCTGTCCTATACTCACAGAATGCCAGAACTAGAAGGCGTGTTACAAATCATTGGGTTGTAAGCATGGATGAAGTCTTGAGAGCTAGACAGGAGAAATGACTTACCCAAGTGGATACATAGTTAGTCTGTGGCAGAGCAGGCATAGAAACTCAGCCTCTCCAATTTGTCAAGATATTGTTTATTTTTTGCTCTTCTCTATATTACTGCCCATTAATTCCCCAAGTCAGGAAATTATCCAGAGGGATTAAGGAGAGCTCCAGGTGACAAGCCAGAGTTGCATCAACTGAGGCAGCTCAGCTGTGAGCCCAACTGCTGAGCCAGGATGCTTATAGTGAACTCAGTCCCCTTGCCCCCACCTGTAACTACTTGGCACTCTCTGGGGAGTGAAGTAACTGATAACCACTAGGCTTTAAAATGCATAATTAAATTAATTAACCCCAAATCTCCCAGACTGACTAGACTTTGCCAAAGGACTCAGGGTTATACAATATTCTCTGATCATGGAATTAGAATTTCTTTTTGTTTTTCCACAAAGCATCAGAAGTATTAGTCCCTTTTACCAAGAAGGAGAGGCAAGATGAAAGAGTACAGAAAACAAAGCAGTTAAAGTAGTTCAGTTTTTTTTTTATTCATGTCAGACTTTGTGACTCCATTTGGGGTTTTCTTGGCAAGGATACTGCAGTGGTTTGCCATTATCTTTTCCCACACATTTTACAGATGAGGAAACTGAGGTAAACAGGGTTAAGTGACTTTCTAAGGGCCACACAGGTAGTGTCTGAGGTCAGATTGGAACTCAGAAGGAAGAATCTTCCTTACTTCAGGCCTAGCACTCTATCTACTGCAACTCCTAGCTGACTCTAGCTAAACTGTCCTCAATTTTTTTTTCTAAACAACTTTAAAATAATTTCTCAATATAATTTTTGAGCAAGTATTTTTTCTTTAAAGATTTACTTCTCAAATATATTGGGAACTGGGTAAAATTTATTAAAACTAAAAAAAAATTCCTTAATTAATAAATGGTCAAAGGATAAGAAAAGTTAGTTTACAGATGAAGAACTCAAAACTATCTATAGTTACATGAAAACGTTCTAAATCACTATTGATCAGAAAAATGCAAATTAAAACAACTCTGAGGTACCTCTTCACACTTATCAGAAATGACAAATGCTAAGGAGTGTGAGAGAAAATAGGTATATTAGTGAACTGTCAGAGTTGGGAACTACTCCAAACATTTTGGAGAAAATTTGAAACTATGACCAAATGTCTATAAAACTGCACATCTTTTGATCCAGCCATATCACTAGTAAGTCTGTTCAAAGAGAACCTCAAAAAAAAAATCAAAGAAAAAAATAGGATCTAAATGTACAAAAATGTATATAGCAGCTCTTTTTGTGGTGGCAAACAATTGAAAATTGAGAAGATACTCATCAACTGGGGAATCAAGTTGTGGCAAATGATTGTGATAGAATACTATCATGCTATGAGAAGAGACAAGAAGGAATGTTTCAAAAATAAAAATGGTAACATCTATAGGAACTGATGCAAAATAAAGTGAAAAGAACCAGGAGACTGTTGTGCCCAGCAACAACAATGTTATAATGATGATCAACTGTGAAAGACTTGGCTATTTTAATCAATGCAATGATCCAAGACAATTCCAAAGGACTCATGATTAAAAAAAAAAAAACCATCTACCACCAGAGAGAAAATTGGTGGACTCTGAGTGAAAACTGAAATACAATTTTCTTTCTTCATTTTTCAAAACTTCTTTTGACATGATGGTTTACTTGGAAATATGTTTTGCATGATTTCATATGTGTAATTAATATCATTTGCTTGC